TATAACCCTCACTACGTAGAATTCTCTTCTGTGTTGCCAAAGAAAGGGGGCTGACTGGGTTATATCATATTTTCTTTTGTTGTTGTTGTTGTTGTAGCGGCTACAACAACCCCGCCCAGGACGGTTGGTATCTCAGTCGTTGCCAAGTTCCACTAACGGCAACCTTAGGAAGCGTGCAGCTTCTGTGGGGTTTGTCCACAGGGACAAGGCCGTTAGGGTTGTCGGGTTTTCCGGGCATGCGAAGAGATGTTTCGAGTCATGTGGGGTCTCTCCGCATGCCGGACACTCATTCGGCACATCCTCATTCAACCTACTCAGGTAGGAGTTTTTTTGTCTCTCATCCTTCTTGTATATTTAGTAGTTTGACAGCTAAACGCCGCCTTTTAATTTGCATATGCAACGAAAGGCAGACACGTGGTTTTGAAGGTGTTTTTATTTAATAAATTGTGATTGATAGGTTAAAATTAAAGTAATAAAGAAAGTTGTAACAAGTCGAATAAAGTTTAAAGTGAAGGGGAATATAAAAATGCATTGGTGAAGTGGCTGTTTTAAGGAAAATAGGAGTGATAAATGTACGCTAATTTCCGAATTTTACAAAGGAGGGCATATTTCAAAACCAATTTGTAAATAAATTAGTGACCAAAAATTACAATAGTGATAGGATGTTAAAATAATGGGTAGACCCTTGGCTACAAGTGTGTGTAATTTTTTTTGGATCGGGTCACCCCTTTGGACGCAATACCCCGAAATAGGTGGGCCACTTACTAAACAGTACCCGGCGTGGCCCCCTAAATCACCCCCATTCGAAAGGGGACAGCCCCCGCCGTTTGAAAATGGGCGAAAAATAGCATTTACCGAATGAAATTGAGCAGTTTGAAGTGGAATATAACCCAAGTAACAGAATCTGTGGGGTTTTTAAATAAAAGAAGTTATCCCAAGGTGGTTATCAGGCGGAAGAAGGGGGGCTTAACACCTTTCGCAGAGAACACCTTTCTGCGTAGGCGGCCTTCGGCCGCACTTAGGGATTATAACCCTCAGGCAGTAGAATTCTGCTTTCTGTGTAGCCAAAGAAGGGGGGCTGAACACCTTTTGCAGAGAACACCTTTCTGCGTAGGCGGCCTTCGGCCGCACTTAGGTATTATAACCCTCAGGCAGAAGAATTCTCCTTTCTGTGTTGCCAAAGAAGGGGGCTGAACACCTTTTGCAGGGAACACCTTTCTGCGTAGGCAGCCTTCGGCCGCACTTAGGGATTATAACCCTCAGGCAGTAGAATTCT